GGGGGGGTCGGGCTCTGCTCCCAGGGAACAGGGACAGGACAAGGGGAAATGGCCTCAGGCTGGGCCAGGGTAGGCTCAGGTTGGATTTTGGGAACAATTCCTTCCTGGAAAAGATTGTCCATCCCTGGCACAGCTGCCCAGGATAGTGCTGAAGTCTCCATCCCTGCAGGGATTTCAAAGCCCTGTGGATGTGGCACCAGGGGACATGGGGCAGTGGTGGCCTTGGCAGTGCCAGAGGATGGTTTGACTCAATATTTGGAGAGAACTTTTCCAACCTCAGTGATTCTGTGACTTTCTGCTGTGTTTTGGAGCATCTTTCATTGCTGGATGTCTGAACCCTGCACAGTGCAGCCCAGGCAGGAGGAGGGACATGCTGAAGCTGCAGCTGGGACACACAGCCAGGACATCCCCAACCTCCACACCCTTCCTGCAGCTTCCAAACCCACGGGCTCATGTGGTGGGGGCAGCTCTGCACTGCCAACACTCTCCCTTCTGGTGCCAGCTGAGAAGTGACCTTGGAAAAGGCAAACAGGGCTCGAGTTAATCAGTACCATTAAAGGGTGAGGTGACTCCTCACATGCTGGCCAAGGGTGGGCATAGGGCAAACGTGCCTTGTTTTACCTGGCACAGCTCTGCTCGCTGGGATTGGTTGAGTTTTCTCTGCCTCCTGCCTTATCTTGAGCCTGAGGGGAGAAGAGGGGAGAAGGTTCTTAGCCTTGTGCCCTCTTTGTATTTAAGGAGATTTGTAGGTAGCAGCCCTTGTTGACTTGCTGGAGCAGCTCTGCTGAGTGCCCTGATCGTGCCTGGAGCAAGATGGGATGTACAACTCCTGTACAAATCCATCTTTGTCTGCTGTCCTCAGCACAGGTGCCACCAGTGCTGTGCTGCCCCAGCCCACCTGGGTGTCACACCCCAACCCCTCTGGGCTCAGCAGTGATGGGGTGAATCACACCAGGCCCATGGTGGGATCCTTGGCATGTCCTCTGCAGGGCCAGGAGCTGCACCTGGTGACCCATGTGGGTCCCTCCCAGCTCAGGATTCTCCAGGGTTCTATGGCAGTGCTTGCTCTGCTGCTGGCTCTGGGTAACCAGATTACTTCAAAGCACAATTGTTTTTTCCGGGACAGGAAGACCATTAGTAGAATCTGGGCTATAAATCTGTATTTTTTTCCTCTTTGGACACATAATTGGATCTCCCAGAGGTGTCCTGGTTGCAGGATTAATGTTGGGTTGAAGCCATACAAGCCATTTGTGTCTGTAAATCCCATAAGGACGCCAGCCAGCTCGTCTGCGATGGCACCACAGCCACCGGGCCTGTCCCCAACTCTTGGGGTGCCTGTGGCCCCCTGGAGCCATCCTGGCAGGGACAGGAGGCTCCTGTGTGCTGCCAGGGATTGCTGCTGCTGGTTTTGCTCTTTCCCTGAGGAGTTCTGACCCCAATCCCAAGGGAGCTGTCTGGGCTGCTTGGCTCCTCCCTGCAGCCGTGAGGAGAAGCTGTGTCTGTGAGCACGGAGCTATTTTAGAGCAGGGCCATTTACAAATGCCTGGCTGCTTGGGGGAAGGAGACTCTGGGGTGTTTGAAATTCCTTCTGGGCACTTCTCCTTTTCCTTTAACCTTCTTTCCCTGAAAAGGGGGCAGTAATCCAGAGTCCAGGCTGGTTTGCAATCATTGGTCGTGATAGAAGAACGATTTATAGAGGGATGTGAGTCACTAGACCAGTGTGTGGAGGTCCAAAATACAGAAGGTGACACTGATTTCCAGTGAGGATGAGGTGAGGGAATGATGGAGCCAGTGCCAGGCTCAAACACTGCTGTGTTTGGGGCTTCACAGGTGAAGAGGTGGAAGGGACAACTTTAGTAATGTTTGTAAGGAAGACCCTGACGAGGAAAAGCAGCTGGAGGAGGCTGGGCATGGCCAAGATGTCTTGGGATCTGTCCCTGAAGGGGCCTGGCAGCTCATTGGTATTCTGGGAGCAGCTGTCCTGGGCAGGCAGCCGTGTCCTGGCTGTCCAGAGCGCTGTCCCCAAGGGTGGCAGCCAGCCTGGCACCAGAGCCAGCCCTGCTGCTGTCCCTGTGCCCCAGGGTGTCCCCAGAGCGGGCACAGCATGGCTGGCCTTGCTCAGCACACAGAGAGGTGTCCTGGCTGGAGCCTGGCAGGAGCTGGGGGGCATAGGGAGGATCCAAAGCTGTGGGAGAGCATCCAGAGGGGCACAGACCCAGTGGGGAAGGGTCTGGAGGGGCCACACAGGGAGTGCCTGAGGGCACTTGGCTTGTTCAGCTGGAGAAGAGACTGAGAGGAGAGCTCATGGATGTCAACAGCTTCCCTCTGAGGGACAGGAGGATCTCTGCTCTCTGTGACAGGGACAGGACCCAAGGGAACCACTGGAGCTGTCCCAGGGAGGTTTAGGTTGGATATTGAGAAAGGTTCTCCCCCCAGACAGTGCTGGGCACTGCCCAGGCTCCCCAGGGAATGGGCATGGCCCTGAGGCTGCCAGAGCTCCAGGAACATTTGGACAATGCTGTCAGGGATGCCCAGGGTGGGATTGTTGGGGGTCTGGGCAGGGACAGGGCTTTGACTCCATCATCCTTGTCTGTGGGTCCCTTCTGACCCAGGATATTCCATGGTTCCATGGTTGCATCAGCAAACCTCTGCAGAGCAGCTGCCCTTTGTCCAGGAAACTGCTCTTGCCAGCTCTTTGAGTTCTGCAAGCAAGGTGGGAACACGTGTGGCCATGGGGAAAAGCTCTTTATTGAATATTATCCCCAGTTCTTGCAGGGAGAGAGGGAAACTTCCCCAGCCACGAGCCTGCTGAAATTTCCCTGAGGTATCTTCCAAGCCTTGCATCTGTTTTCTTGTTCCAGGCTGTTTTGGGGATAATGAGATTAAATCAGTCTCTCCTCCTCCCCTAATTGGTGCTTCAAATCCTATTATCTTGTAAAGCATTTGGAATTCTGCCCCCCGAAATTGCATTAAGCTGAGATGGAAATTCCTTGCGGCTTAGAGTTGCCTCCATAGGCTTTGGGGTTTGTTCCTTCTTGCTCTGCTGCTCCTGTGGGGACACAACCTCTGGGGCTGAATCCCAGGGACATGGACTGACCCTGCACAGGGAGGGCTGGGAGGGGCTACAGAAATCCTTGCCAAGGGTGGGATTCACCCAGATGGGAGCAAATGCTGTAAGATGGGATCCCAGCAAGACCCAGCTTGGTCCTTTAATCCCTTCTTGGTCCTGGTTTGTTTCTTGGGGGGTGTTGCTTTGCCCTTTCCCACCACTTCTTTGCTTCCAGGGAAAAGTGGGGAATGCAGACAAGGAGAGGAGCAGGTTGGAGGAATCCATGGCTGCAGTGACAGGGGCTGGTTCAAGGCCATGGGCTGGGGGGGCACACCTGGAGCTGCTCTTTGCTGAGGGGTTTCCTTTTACCAACCAAACCAAATGTGGTACCTGGTGGGATGAGTCCAAAGGAGGCCACAGAGCTGCTCCAAAGGCTGGAGCCCCTCTGCTCTGGAGCCAGGCTGGCAGAGCTGGGGGTGCTCACCTGGAGAGGAGAAGGATCCAGGGAGAGCTCAGAGCCTAAAGGGGCTCCAGGAGAGCTGCAGAGGGACTGGGGACAAGGCCTGGAGGGACAGGAGCCAGGGAATGGCTCCAAAGTGGAAAAGGGGATTTGGGTGGGATATTGGGAAGGAATTCTTGGCTGTGAGGGGGTGAGGCCCTGGCACAGAGTGCCCAGAGCAGCTGTGGCTGTCCCTGGATCCCTGGCAGTGCCCAAGGCCAGGTTGGGCCTTGGTCCCCCATCAGTTTGGATCTCCCTGGGGCTGGGAGCAGCCTGGGACAGTGGGAGCTGTCCCTACCCATGGCAGGGGCTGGCACTGGAGTTTCTGGAAGGTTCCTTCCCACATAAACCACTCTGGGATTCTGTGGTTGCAAATGGACTCGGGCAGGTGCTGTGCTGGAGCTGGGGGTGCTGTCCCAAGCAGGTGGGTGAGCAGCAGGTTCTGCCCAGCACTGAGCACGTGAGCCCAGGAGTTTGGTAGCCTGTGGAATTGTTCTTGGGATCCTTATAAAAGTGTTCCTGGGAGAAGAGGACTTCAGCCAGGGTAATCTGTGTTTGGAAGGGGCTGTGAGAGCAGATAATGGCTCGTGCTGCTCTTGAGAGCCAAATGATGTCAAATTTTCTATCTGGAAGTCGTTTCATGCCTTGTCTAGATCTTTGATTTTTTATTTCTATTTTTATTTCCCCCACCACAAACACACCCTGAACACCTCAAATGTCATGAAAGTGATGGGGTGAGGGGTACGAGCTTTCCCTTCCCATTCCCAAAGCTGCCTCTGGTGAAATCTCAGCTCCTCAATGAAGAGGGACCCTCTGAGACCCATCCTGCTCAAGGGGCTCCCAGTCCCACTGCTGGAAGTGAGGATGGACACTGGGACCAGCAAGATAACAAAGGGGTCACAGCAGAGCAGGTGACAGGTGGCACTGCTGGGGGGTAGGACCCAGAGCATTTCTCCTCACCCAGGTGGGGCAGAGGGAGTTGGAAGCAGCTGAAAGGATCAGCATTTTGCTCCTTGCTGTGTCCACTCAGCTGGATCTGGCATTTCCAGAGGTGACAGATGGCACTGTTGAGGGGACCCAGAGCATTTCTCCTCATCCAGGTGGGACAGAGGAGTTGGGAGCAGTTGAAAGGATCAGCATTTTGCTCCTTGCCTGTGTCCACTCAGCTGGATCTGGCATTTCCAGAGGTGACAGATGGCACTGTTGAGGGGACCCAGAGCATTTCTCCTCACCCAGGTGGGACAGAGCAGTTGGAAGCAGTTGAAAGGATCAGCATTTTGCTCCTTGCCTGTGTCCACTCAGAGAGCTGGAGTTGGCATTTCCAAAGGGCGGGGGGTGCATCAGGAGCCCTGTGGGGGTTCCACACAGATGTGGCTCAGAAGATTCCAGATGTCTGGCTGTTTCTGCAGGTTGCTGGAGCCCTAACTGTTGGTTTTTGTTTCCCTTTCCCAGTACAGCGCCGTGGACAGCAACCCCCTGTCCCTGTATGTGATGCATCCCTTCTGGAACGCCATCGTGAAGGTGAGTCCCTGTCCCACCCTGAGCAGGACAGCACAGCCCAGCTCAGCTCTGTAACACCATCAGCTGCTTTGTTTGTGGTGCCACTAATGAGTGAGGGGCTGCCTGCAGCCTGCCCCCAATCCCTGAATGTCTGTGCATCCCAGCCCCACGCTTCCTGCTGCCCCAGGATGCTGCAGCTGCTCCTGGCAGTGTTGTCTAACACCCAGACACTGCAACCATGGCTGGAGCAGCGCCTGCTCCTCAGTCCATGTTTTAATGAGTTCATCTGTTCTTTTGCTGCTTTCCCATAGATCTTCCCTACCTGGCTGGCCCCAAATTTGATAACGTTTTCTGGCTTCCTGCTGCTTGTCTTCAACTTCTTCCTCATGGCATACTTCGACCCTGACTTTTATGCTTCTGGTAAGGCTGCATGTTCCTGGTCAGGTGGGAAATCTGTGTCACCTCCTCTGCTGGGAATTGGTGAGGCCTCTGGGTCTGGACCTTCCCAAAGTGACTGGGACAGAGGAGGGGATTGAACTCGCTGGGTTTTGTGACAAGGACTTGTCCAGGTGTGGCACCTTCCCTCTGGCTGCCAGGGAAAGGTGCTCCTGGCTGCCAGTGTGTGGGACAGGGAGGAGGAGACAGCTGGAATCTTGGGTTGGAATTGGCTCTGCCTGCAGAGCAATCAACCCAGTGCTCGTGTTTGAAAATCTAACAGGAAAATGTTAGGAAATGCTGCTTCCCTGAAATCAGCAGGTAGAGCCTTGTTCTTCCCATCCCAGCTCATTCCCCTCTTGGCAAAACCACCAGCACATCAGACTAACAAGGCCAAATCCTCTTTCTGAGCTTCACCATTCACAGCTTTAAACTTTTCTAACAGTCCCCATGTTCATCTGCCTGCGAATCCAATAGTTCAGTTGTGTTCCTTTGCACATGGAGGAGTCCCAGGGAAAGGATTAATGCAGTGTGATAAATTCTCAGGAGCTTCTCCTCCATGTTTTTCTCTCCCTTAGACCCTGCCAGGTCTGGTTTAGGTTGCTCAGGGGAGTTTGTGGAGTTCTAAACTGGACCCATCACCAAAACAGTTACATGGCAGCAATCCTGCTTTCTTGGGATTGCCTTTATGGGTAGACAAGTCAAAGCTGGTGAAGGTTCAGGTGACACCTGTGGCTGTTGGCCAGGGTTTGGGCTGTTAAGGTCCATGAGCCATGAGAACAAAAGCTGTCAGTAGCTCAAGGTGAAAACCCCCAGGACATCAGACATCCAGAATCATGGAACCCCACAATGGTTTGGGTTGAAGGAACCTTAAAGCCCATCCAGTCCCACCTCCTGCCAGGGCCAGAGACACCTTCCACTATCCCAGGTTGCTCCAAGCCCCAGTGTCCCATCTAATCTTGCCCTCTGGCAATGGAAAGCCATTCCCCCTTATCCTGTCCCTCCAGGCCCTTGTCTCACCCTCTCCAGCTCTCCTGGAGGCTCTTGAGGCCCTGGAAGGACTCTAAGAGTTCCCTGGAGCCTTCTCTTCTCCAGACAGGGCATCCCCAACTCTCCCAGCCTCTCAAAAATTGCCTTTGGAAGGATGGAGAAGCTCATGGCTTGGGACCCTTTCACATACATGTTTTGCATGTCCTGCTTGGAGAGAGAACTTTTCCTGGTGCTGCTCCAGAATTTTGTGCCTTCCCTCCTCCTTGGATGGCTTTGCAGATGTGATGCCCTCCCTCCCTTTGCTGCTGGAAGGAAACAGGAGGTGACATTTCACAGGATCACTGTTCCCCCAGGAGGCCTCCCTGTGCCCTCCCTGTGCCAAGGATCCATGCCTCCTCCTGCCCTTCTCTTTGGGCTCCCTGGTGGCAGCCTACCATGAGATCCATTAGGAAATAGATATTAACAGGGGAGAAAGGTGCTGGGCAAGAAGAATGGGCTGTTACCCTGCTTCTACCACAACCAACGCAGTGTGGGTATTAATCAGCATGCTGAAAGTCCCAAATTAGATTTTATTTTGGGTGGTAGCTTCAATCTGGATCATGTTCACATTCATTCCATTTTTCTCATGGTACAAAATCAAACATTGTCCATCAGAGGAGAAATGGAAGGTGTGTGATCCCAGGAAATTTCACAAAGCCTTGGTGCACGAGTGTGGGTATGGGGTGAGGTGCAGCCAGCTCTGCTGGCTGGCTGCCCCAGCCCTGCTGGAGGAGGTGGAGGTGCTGCTAGGGAAGAGCTGGGTTTCCATTGGCAGGATGTGACTGGAGACTGGGTGGGGAATCCTGGCATGTTCCTGCGGGGGCAGGGAGTTGCCACATCCAAGAGCCTGCCCTGGATGCTCTGTGAGCCAGTGACTGAGGAGTGTCCTCTGCACACACAGTGCCTGCAGTGGCACTGCAGAACTGGCCCCAGGTCTCAGATCTCGTGATTTTGGGGAGCTGGGAGCAAAGGACAAACATATCCTGAAAGGCAAAGTCCTCACTGACCTGGTTTCATGAGCTGTTATGGGGCAGCTCTGCCATCACATCCTGCAAAGCTCACATCCCAGATTTGCTGTTTGAGTCCTTGTGGCTGTGCTTTTTGGGCCAAAAGAAACCCTCAGGGAGCACATCCTGAACTGTCCTGACTCTGGTCTGTCTGATCCCTGCAGCTCCTGATCACCAGCACGTTCCAAACGGCGTGTGGATCGTGGTGGGGCTCCTCAACTTCATGGCCTACACGTTAGGTAAGAGTTCTCAGGGTCACCCACTCGTGCTGTGCTTGTGTTGTCCCCTCTCTCCCCATGGGAAGTGTTACATTCTGTGCTCCCAGCAGTTTCTGGGAGCTGCTTTGCAGTTTGGAGACAAGGAAGTTGTCCCAGAGCATCTGGTGGGAAAGGAGGATACTGGAACTGACTTTGAGGTGAACTGTGAAACTCTGTCTTAGATTTGCTCTAAATAATCAGATCATCCCAGAATGGTTTGGGTTGGAAAGGACCTGCAAAATCCTCTGGTTCTACCTCCTGCTATGGGCAGGGACACTTTCCACTATCCCAAATGTAGGAAATGAATTTGTAGAGAATTCTTGAAGTCTGATAAAGGTTCACACAGTATGCATTTGTTTGTAAACAATCAAAACACACCTATGTAAACATGCCTAATCTGACACCAGGTTGCTCCAACCCCCATCCAGGCTGGCCTTGGACCCTCCCAGGGACCCAGGGGCAGTCACAGTTTCTCTGGCCAACCTGTGCCAAAGCCTCACAGCCAAGAATTCCTCCCCAATATCCCACCCAAATTTCCCCTTTTCCACTTTGAAGCCATTCCCTGTGTCCTCTTCCTCTATCCCTTGTCCCAAGTCCCTCTCCAGCTCTCTTGGACCTCCCTTAGGCACAGGAAGAGGCTGCCTTAAGGAATAGAAAGGAAATACAAGGAAATCAATAAAATTTCATCAGGCTGTTCCATTTTCCAGCCTGCCATGGAGCAGGGATGGGAAGTCCACTCACTGATTGAGGGTGGAGGTGGGGAAAGCTGCTGTTCTCTGGCCCATTGCTTTGTGTGGGGTGTCCAGGAGAGCTCCATGTGTAGGAATGTGCCCCCTGTTGATGGAGTGACTGAATTATTCTTTATCTGCTTAAAAAGGCAACAAAGCCCAGAAGTTTTTCTCCCAATTTGGTACAAAGACACCTCATAGGACCTTTGGGACTTCAACTCAGACCTGGGGCTGTCCGATTAGACAGAGGCCAAGAGGTCCCACCTGGTTAATTCACTAGAAAAAGAAGAGAACAAAGGAAATAATCGCTTTTGTGGGGTATTTTAGCAGGAGCAAGAACCTCTTGCCTCCAGCTCATTTTTTCTCTGAAAGAGCTTTGTTAATTTGCCTTTTATTAAACCTTTCTCTATTTCCAACACCACCTCAGAAGCCATCCTGCTGATTTCCTGCCGTTCCGGGTAGCTGAGCTACCTCAGGTGTGATGTATTTCTCCGAGAGCTCCTAAGACCTGGCTCAAAGACTTTACCACATCATCCATTTCTGTCTCCCTCTTGCCAGATGGTGTTGATGGCAAGCAGGCACGCCGGACCAACTCCAGCACGCCCCTGGGAGAGCTCTTTGACCACGGCCTGGACAGCTGGGCCTGCGTGTACTTTGTGGTCACCGTCTACTCCACCTTCGGCCGCGGCTCCACCGGCGTCAGCGTCTTCGTGCTCTACCTCCTGCTCTGGGTGGTCTTGTTTTCCTTCATCCTCTCCCACTGGGAGAAGTATAACACAGGGATTCTCTTCCTGCCCTGGGGATATGACGTCAGCCAGGTGGTGAGTTCACGCCCTTGGAAGCTGCGGGGTGCAGTGCTGCCCGCTGAGGGATGTGTTCTGCTGTGGATCCAAAGCCTTGTCAGGCATGGAGTCAGTCCATGGACATGGACTCTCCATGACAAACAAGGCTGGAAGGATGGACGTGGCTTTGGCTCTCCTCTCCCTGCTTCCTGCATGTCCTGCCCACTGGAATTGCTGCTTTATGTAGTTCCCTACATGGTACTAGTGTGGGTAAAGCCTGGAGGTTTGGGATGCCTTTTGGTACTACCAGGATCTAGGTAGTACCAAAATTTCAAAAATTCAGCAGAGGTAATTGGCTTGTTAATTGCTGTTCCTGAAGCAAAGATTCCTGGGGAGGTGCCCCCTCCAGACCATGGTCCCTGGGCAGTGGGTGTTGAGACTGATGGTGATGGACCCCTTGGGGTGTTGGTGTGTCCATCCCTCCTTAAGGAATTTTCTGCAGGAAGCTCTTCCTGAAGAGAACTGGGACCTGGGGGTGAGGCAGCTCACCTGGATTGCTGGCAGTGCCTTCCTCCAGCCCAGGGGGCTCCAAGCTTGTCCAGCCTGGCCCTGGACATTTCCAGGGATGAGGGAGCCACAGCTTCTCTGGGCAATCACCCTCATTTTAAAAAAGCTTCTTCCTTTTAACTCATTATCTCATGTCCATTTATTTATCCTCTGGTTTGTCAGGTGCTGGGTGGGAAATGCAACGAGTTGGAAGGAGAGTTCAATTAATGCAGCTGCATTAATTGGAATAATCATTTCTCCTACTACAAGGAGACCAGAGCTGGTCCCTGACTGTACTCTGATCCTTTCTCCCAAAATGTTGCTTAACCCAGGTCTTTGAGCTGCCTGCTGGAGAAAGGCAGGGGTGGAGGGCAGAGCAGCGTGTTCCACCCAGCTTCAGGGGACTATTAAAGCTGAAATAGCCCTGGTGAGCTTCTCCCTGTAATCCAGCAGCTGATGGATAAGGAAGAGTCCCTGAATGACCCCTCCAGGGTCACTGCAACTTGTGTAAAACCTGTGCTGTGGTCACCTTGAGAGTTCAAGGCTGTGCCAGGGCATCTCTCCTGCAGCTCCTGGTCATACCCTCCTCATGGAATCAGTGAGGTTGGAAAAACCCTCTGAGACCATCGAGTCCAGCCATGTCCTCAGCACTGCCAAGGCCACCACTGCCCCATGGCCCCAAGTGCCACTTCCACGTGGTTTTTATATTCCTCCAGGGATGAGACTCTACCCTGGGCAGCCCCTGCCAAGGCCTGAGCCCCCTTTCCATGCAGAAATTCCTCCTGGTGCCCACCCTGAGCCTGCCCTGGCCCAGCCTGAGGCCATTTCCCCTTGTCCTGTCCCTGTTCCCTGGGAGCAGAGCCCGACCCCCCCTGGCTGTGCCCTCCTGGCAGGGACTTGTGCAGAGCCACAAGGGCCCCCTGAGCCTCCTTTGCTCCAGGCTGAGCCCCTGCCCAGCTCCCTCAGCCCCTCCTGGGGCTCCATTCCCTGCCCAGCTCCCTCAGCCCCTCCTGGGGCTCCATTCCCTGCCCAGCTCCCTCAGCCCCTCCTGGGGCTCCATTCCCTGCCCAGCTCCCTCAGCCCCTGCTGGGGCTCCATTCCCTGCCCAGCTCCCTCAGCCCCTCCTGGGGCTCCATTCCCTGCCCAGCTCCCTCAGCCCCTGCTGGGGCTCCATTCCCTGCCCAGCTCCCTCAGCCCCTGCTGGGGCTCCATTCCCTGCCCAGCTCCCTCAGCCCCTCCTGGGGCTCCATTCCCTGCCCAGCTCCCTCAGCCCCTCCTGGGGCTCCATTCCCTGCCCAGCTCCCTCAGCCCCTGCTGGGGCTCCATTCCCTGCCCAGCTCCCTCAGCCCCTGCTGGGGCTCCATTCCCTGCCCAGCTCCCTCAGCCCCTCCTGGGGCTCCATTCCCTGCCCGGCTCCCTCAGCCCCTCCTGGGGCTCCATTCCCTGCCCAGCTCCCTCAGCCCCTCCTGGGGCTCCATTCCCTTCCCAGCTCCCTCAGCCCCTCCTGGGGCTCCATTCCCTGCCCGGCTCCCTCAGCCCCTCCTGGGGCTCCATTCCCTGCCCAGCTCCCTCAGCCCCTCCTGGGGCTCCATTCCCTGCCCAGCTCCAGCCCCTGCAGGTCTCTCGTGTCAGGAGGGGCCCAGAGCTGCCCCCAGCCCTGGAGGTGCCCCAGCAGTGCCAGCCCAGGGCATGGGCACTTCCCAGTTCAATCCCTGCTCAGCAGCTTGCCCTTCCTACACCTGGTAACATGGGATATTTGTGGATTTGTTTTATTTTTCTCCTTCCTGCTGGTGGGTAGGACTGAACGTGTCCTGGTTTAGAGCTGCCTTTCCCTGGAGCTGCCTGGCACACGTGTGGTGCTGCCAGCCCAGGTGCTGCCAGCCAGGTGCTGCCAGACTTGCCCCCATCTCATTTCTCACCCCTGCTTGTCCTGTGCTTTCTTTCAGACCATTTCAATTGTCTACATAGTGACAGCCTTTGTGGGAGTTGAGGCCTGGTATGCACCTTTCCTGTTTAATTTCTTATATAGAGACCTATTCACTGCAATGATTATTGGTAAGAAACTCCATGTTGAAGCCTGTCTTTTAAACTTCACCTTTTTCCCAAACCCCCCGCTAATGACCTGCTAACACTGCTCTGTTTGCTGCCCCCGGGCTGTTGTTGAAGTGACTAATTGAGGGTGTTCTCACAGCCTGAAAACCTTTCCCAGGATTTCAAAACAGGGCTGTCTCCTGCAGAGTTATTTTGGAGAACTTAACTCTGCTCTCTCTGGGCTGACTTCACTCCAGACAAGCTTAGTTTGTCCTCAGTGAGAGCCTGGGGGTAAAACCAGTGTGGTAAACCCAGAGTTTCCAGGGGATGAAGCCCAGTGTGCAGGGGGTGGTGGGATTTGGCCCTCAATGGAGCCTCCCCAGCCTTGGGCTGGTTTGGAGGGGTCAGGACACTTTTGTTTTGCTGTTCTGGGGCTCCTTCTCACCCCAGAGCCCAAACACTGCGTGGGAGGGAGGTTGCAGCCATGGAGGTGGGTGGGAGCTCTGCTGTTTGGGGATCCTGCCTTCCATCCACCCACCTGAACATTACATCATTATAATAATAATAATAAAATTGAAATAAAGGCCCAGCCTTGCTCTCCTATGGTCAGTCAAAATAAGCCACTGCAAAGGGTAGAGCTGAGCTGATGTTGCCTAATTCACAAGTTCTGCTCAGTTTATTTTCCTTCAGGTGTTCTTTGAATTGCTTAATTTTGAGTTAATTGGTGTGTTAAATAAGTACTTGCACTTTTATCAGGTAGATGTTCCCAGCTTTCCTTTGACAGCTGTGTGACTTAACGTGAATAATGAATGTGCTTTTCCTATATGGGAAATTGAGCCCAGTTCCCACACGGGGGAGAGGAGCTGGGTTATTAAAGCAGGAATATTTCCAGCTCTGTTCACACACCTTCTGCTGGACAAACAGGGAAGGAGTTGTGCTGGAATATCATGGACAGTGTTGATGGTTCTGATTTAGGTCAGGATTTTTCAGTTATTTGGGTGCTTTGGATCATTTATCCACTTAAATCAACTTTTTGGCAATGTGGCCACTGGAAATGTCTGCACACAGACAGAGAAACAGCAAATTGTCTTTCTTGTGAAAACTTTTGTGCCCAGCCCTGTCATTTGAGGAGTGTGCACTCGTGTCTCATTAGAGTTGTATTATAATTAAGCTTTGTCACTGTTTAAAGCACAAACCCGAGCTCCTTAATGCAGCCCTTTCAAATGGAAATGCCTTCAACTTACAGCAGACTTTAACTTTTAATTACAGCTCTTGGGCCAGACTTGAGAGCAGCTTCTTCCAAATGTGCTGAGCTATTCCTGGGGCACCAGGAGCTATTTTTGGTGCAGGGAATTTAAAGCAGAGCCCAGCCAGAGCCTCCTGTTCGGGGTGCATGGGGTGTCCCCTCTGGCCTGGGGCACTAACGTGGCACTTTTCTCTTCCAGCCTGTGCCCTCACTGTGACCCTGCCCATGAGCCTCTACAACTTCTACAAGTGAGTTTTGTGGAATCCCAGCAGGGTTTGGGTGGGAAGGAGGTGGAAAATTCATCCAGTGCCACCCCCCTGCCATGGCAGGGACATCTTCCACTGTCCCAGGGTGCTTCAAGCTCTGTCCAGCCTGGCCTTGGGCACTGCCAGGGACCCAGGGGCAGCCACAGCTGCTCTGGGCACCCTGTGCCAGGGTCTCACCACCCTCACAACCAAGAATTCCTAATTCCCAACATCCCATCCATCCCTGCCCTGTGGCAGTGGGAAATCATTCCCCCTTGTCCTATCACTCCAGTCCCTCTGCAGCTCTCCTGGAGCCCCTTCAGGTGCCTACTGCAGGCAGCACCAGGGATTTCCCAGTCATTCCATGTATTTTCATTTCTTTGCTTGTCTTTCAGGGCCTATAAAAATAACACCTTGAAGCACCACTCTGTGTATGAAATCCTGCTGCCCCTGGTGTCCCCGGTGTTGCTGTTCCTGCTCTGCACCACCTGGATCTTCCTGTCCCCCACTGACATCCTGGAGGTCCAGCCCAGGCTCTTCTATTTCATGGTTGGAACAGCCTTTGCCAACATCTCTGTAAGAGCTTCTGCTTTATGCTTGAGGGACTGGAGAATTGGTTCAATTGAGTTTTCACATGTGCTGTGAGCAGCAGAGTGCTCATGGGAAAGGAGTTCCTGCCTCCTTTTGGGGATAAACTTAAAATGGGAGGACTAAATTTTTGGTCAAAATTTAATTTAGCTGCCTAGTGGTAGAATAATGGGAGTGTTAAGGCTGGAAAAGCCCTCTGAGACCACTGAGTCCAACTGTCCCCCAGCATTGCCAAGGTCACCCCTGCTCCAGGTCCCCACACACAGGGGGTTTTTAAATCCCTCTAGGGATGGGACTCCACCACTGCCCTGGGCCTTTTCCAATGTTTAACAACCCTTTCCATGCAGAAATTCCTCCTGGTGTCCACCCTGAGCCTGCCCTGACCCAGCCTGAGGCCATTTCCCCTTGTCCTGTCCCTGTTCCCTGGGAGCAGAGCCCGACCCCCCCTGGCTGTGCCCTCCTGGCAGGGACTTGTGCAGAGCCACAAGGGCCCCCTGAGCCTCCTTTGCTCCAGGCTGAGCCCCTGCCCAGCTCCCTCAGCCCCTCCTGGGGCTCCATTCCCTGCCCAGCTCCCTCAGCCCCTGCTGGGGCTCCATTCCCTGCCCAGCTCCCTCAGCCCCTGCTGGGGCTCCATTCCCTGCCCAGCTCCCTCAGCCCCTCCTGGGGCTCCATTCCCTGCCCAGCTCCCTCAGCCCCTCCTGGGGCTCCATTCCCTGCCCAGCTCCCTCAGCCCCTCCTGGGGCTCCATTCCCTGCCCAGCTCCCTCAGCCCCTCCTGGGGCTCCATTCCCTTCCCTGGACAGACTCCAACCCCTGCAGGTCTCTCGTGTCAGGAGGGGCCCAGAGCTGCCCCCAGCATTGGAGGTGCCCCAACAGTGCCAAATCACACGAGTGACCATCCCCTCTGCTCTGGGGACAAAAATCTGTTGCTCCCAGAGCCCACAGCAGGCTCAGGCTCTGTCCCTGTCCCCTCAGTGCCAGCTGATCGTGTGCCAGATGAGCAGCACACGGTGCCAGCCCCTCAACTGGATGCTGCTGCCCATCGCGGCCGTGCTGCTCCTGGTGGTGTCTGGGCTGGCTCCAGGCAGTGAAACGCTCCTGCTGTACCTGCTGACAGCCTTCCTCACCCTGGCACACATCCACTATGGAGTGGTCGTGGTAGGTGACACCTCCTGGGGCTGGGCTGGGGCTGGGAGTGCTCTGTGTGAAACTGGGAATGGTTCTGTGAGCCCTGTGGGATTTGGGGTGCATTCCTTGTGAGAGGCTTGTGGAGGTTGCATGGGGTTGAAAGGAACTGCACAGGATGTGGCAGGGGCTGTCCTTTCCCTGGGATGTGTCAGATGAGTTGGAAACCAAGCACAAAATCTTGGAATAGTTTGGGTTGGGAGGGACCTGAAAGCTCATCCAGTGCTACCCCTGCCATGGCAGGGACACCTCCCTCTGTCCCAGGGTGCTCCCAGCCCCAGTGTCCAACCTGGCCTTGGGCACTGCCAGGGATCCAGGGGCAGCCCCAGCTGCTCTGGGCACCTGTGCCAGTGCACAACAATTCCCAATTCCCAAGATCCCATCCAGCCCTGCCCTCTGGCAGTGGGAGCCATTCCCTGTGTCCTGTCCCTCCATCCCTTGTCCCCAGTCCCTCTGCAGCTCTCCTGGAGCCCCTTCAGGCCCTGCAGAGGGGCTCTGAGTCTCCCACTGAGCTCTCCGAGGTGCTGGAGTGGGGATTTTGCTGCTGGGGGCAGTGGGAACACAGCAACTCCAGGGCCTCCCCTCCTCCTGTCCATCTGTGCACAGATCCAGGGATTGGTTTCCTCCTCGTGCTCTGAGTTTGGATTAACAGAGAGAACAAGCTTGGAGAAGCCCAGAGTCCCACTGGGAAGCTGCTGAGGAAGGAGGACAAGGGGCCACGTGTCCCAGCTGGAGTGGGGACACCCTCCTTGGGAAGCCCCTTCCCCTGGGAGCCCCAGTTCCACCCCAGAGCCTCTGGAGTCGTGTCCCAGCTGTAATTACAGCAAAGGAGTAATTGCCAGGTTGCCTTGTCTTTCCAATTAGTGTAATGAGGCTTCTGGGCAAGAAGGATTTGAATTACTAAGAAGCTTAAATAAATTTGGTCTTGGAATCACAGCTGGAGATGGGGCTGAGCTGGTGGTGTAATCCTCCTGCCCATGCCCTCCTGGGAGATTCCCAGTGCTCTGCTCCCTCTTTCCCTGCCTCTGCCTTTCCAAGGGCCCATCTGGGCCAGCTCCTCTTCACTTTGAGCTGAAGAGCCTTTAAAGGCTTTGGGATTGGGACATAATCCCAAACTTCTCTGAATTTGGGAGGAATGATTAGGATTAAAGCCTCTGCCCTGACTGTGTCAAGCTCAGCCTCCTTTTGCAGGAAGGAAATTATCCAGCTCTGACTTTGAATTGATTCAGGAATATTTTATAGAGATATCTGAGATGATCAAATCAATTTAAACAGAATAATCAAGGAGGAGGGTAAAATCCTCCAGGTCTGGGCTCAGCATTCCCAACTCCTGCTCCTGTGGAGGGGAAAAGCAGAGGGTGAGCCTGCTCCCAGATGTTATTTGGGAAAGTTAGGAAGGGAGCAGGGCTGTTCCCTGAGGAATCAGTGCTGGGCACAGGGATGGGGCTGGGCACAGTGGCTGGCAGGGGCTTGGTGGGGACAAGGAGCAGGTCTGGGGCTCTGCCTGCTGTGCTGCTCGTGCCTGGGAGCTGGGATAACCCCCCGGCCTCCAGGATAACCCAGTCCCGTGTCTGCCTCGTCCCCAGGTGAGCCAGCTGAGCAGGCACTTCAACATCCGGCCCTTCTCCCTACGCAAGCCCACTCCGGACTGACTGGGAGCAGAGGAGGAGAAAATCGGCCTGCGGGCTGCAGAAGGACTGTAAATACCTGCTGCAAATACCTGTAAATACTTCAGCCATCACCACAGATCAAACTATCCTCGGGACAGGGCCAAGGACACGCGGGACCCGCTGCAGCCGGGGCGGGGCCGGGCCGGGGCGGCTCCTGCTGCTCTTCCATCCCTGCAAGCTTCGGCTTTTGGGTGGAGCTGGAGGAGGAGGAGCCTTTCAGGTCGCTGTTACTGTACCTTAGACCAGCTGAATGTTCCCAGAGAAGCCTCTGACTCCGGCCCTTGCTCAGGGAAAGCTGCTTGGGGATGCAAAGGCTTTACCTGAGCAAAGCACCTTGGCCTGACACCAAAAGCAACGCAGCTGATTCCTCCAAGGGCAGGGGGACATCCTGGTGGTGGGGGTAGTTCCTGGCTGTCCCCTGTGCTGCTGTCTGGACAGCCCCTGTGCTGGGCTGGTACTTTGGGAGCAGATGGTGACAGTTCTGCCACATTCTCTCCTGCCTTCCTGCTTTTGGGCAAACACTTGCTAGCACCTTTGTTGTCTTTTTTTTTTTTTTTTTTTTTTTTAAGGGGAGGAAAAAAAGACACTCAAAGCTTGTGGTTCAATCCTAAATGGGGGGCTTGGAAAATCAGGGCTCAATTTCCCATAGGAGTGGGAATGTGGCTTCTGCATGTTGTGTGGTACCTGGGACCACATCTTGGCACATTCCTGTGTGTCCATGTGTGTTCCCAGTCTGGGAATGGGCTCTGGGCTATGGAAGGTGGCTGAGACTACAGAGCCAAGCTCTCCCCGTTCCTACCATCATGGATTTGCTGTCATGGGTTGGCTCTGTGGGTCCTTTCCTACTGCCTGAGCCCCTTTTCCACAGCCTGGCCCTTCCCAACTGCAATTCCACTGCTGGGAGAAGCACCTGAAGCCCCATGTTGGTCGTGTGTGCACCTTCAGGATGCTCCCAGGGGTGGGAACCTTTCAGATCTCCCTCTCTTTGTCCCCAGCACCCGCGTGTCTCATCCAGGCATCTCTTTGTTTACTGTCCACTTGTCAGAGACGTGTTTGCGTTGATTTTATTTTTTAATTTGTTTTTATAATTGACTTCTTCGAGTGGGGTGGTGAAGACTGAATGCTGATTTTCTTTCCTGTTGGCTTGATTCAATGAAGACCTGTGCTTGAATGAAGAGTGTAGCTTAAACCCAGGCTCTGGAAAGGCTGCATCCGGAAGAGAACAAGCACAGCCAATCGTGCAGGTGGAACTACCATGGGAACAAATTCCTTCAGACACTGATTGTTGTGCAACGTGGGGCATCTGACAGCTTGGTCAGAGCCATTTCCTTCTGCAGGGGAAGCCTCTTCCTGCTCTGGGAAGCCTTCAACGTGTAACTGCTATTTAATGCTTTTTCTTTTGGAAATTGGAATCACTGTCATGCCAAGACTGGAAGCCCTGAGGTTGAGCTCGTGAGTTCACGGGTTGCTTGGGCAGCCCTTGGTCAGTCTTGGTCACCCCTGGTCAGCCCCTGGTCACAGTACAGCCTGTGAGGAGCAAACTGTGCCCTTGCCAGGGCTGCCCTCCCTTGTGGGGGGCTCTGGATCTCACGTGTCCCTACGGCTGCGGCGGGGCTGGGAGAGGGGGCCGATGGTTTTCGGAGTTTATTTAATAAAGTAGCTTCCTCCAATCCATTTTACTGATGTTGTACAGAAAAAAAAAAACAAACAACAAAAAACAACCCAAACCCTCCATGGACAAATGACTTGGGCTGCACCTGAGTTTTTGAATCCTGCTATTTAATGAAATAGAATTATGGAGATAAATTTAAGTCCTGCTCGCACAGGAATTAGAGGGAATCTTCAGCTGGGACACAGCTTCCTGTGGGACTTGTTCAGATAGCAGAGCTGGGCTGGCAACACTGAAAAATGTGTGTGTTGGATGATTTTCTGTCTAGTTTTGTGTTTGCCCAAGCAGGGAAGAACTGAGCTGTTCCCTCAGGCTTCCAATTGAACTCTGGGCTCCCAAACCTGGCACTTGCCTTGTCCTGTCTCTTCCCATGGCCATCACTGGCCCCTGAGGACTGGGATGTTGCTGAGGCTGGGAGAAGTTGTCTGAGCTTAAGTCTTGGTATAAAGGAAGAACATCCCTCTCCAAAACTGGAACTGCTTCCTCTGCACAGGCTTTATATTGGGGGAGTTCTGGCTCTTTGGTGCCTTAATTTATTGCACCTTGAAAGTAGAAAAAAATCTCCTTAAATCAGCGCTGGGGTTTGAGCTGGCTTGCACCTGATGGGGACAGGGATGGTGAGCAGAGCCCATCCCAGTGCCCAGGAAACTGCTGGGGAGGGAAGTTCTCCTTTGGCTCTTAGAAATCCAGTGATTTCTACTCCTGGATTCTGAGAGGGGGAATAGAAACAAAGAGACCAAACCCTGTGTGGCAGCTGAGAACCAACCCTTGTATTGCCCACCATGTGTTAAGTATTAAAGTGTTCCTGGGTAACAGCCCCTGAAGGGGATGTTCTGTGCTGGCTGGACTCTGTCCTTCCCATGGGGTGTGCTCCTGGGCATGGAGAGGGCAGGTCCTGGCTCCTCAGCTCCTCCTGGCCAGGGAACAATTCCCAATTCCCAATATCCCACCCAGCCCTGCCCTCTGGCACTGGGAGCCATTCCCTGGCTCCTGTCCCTCCAGGCTCTCTCCAGCTCTCCTGGAGGCCCTGGTTGGTCACAGCTGCCTCTCCTCGTTTCCCCTGCCCCAAGGCTTTGCCAGAGCTGGGAGCAGCGCTCTGCAAGTTGGAGGCTCTGGGAACATCTTTAAGCTCCTTAAACAGAGCTGGCCTGGTGTCACCTCCTGGCCTGTCAAGGATCTGCAGCTGGGAGTCAGAGCTGGTTTGATCCAGTAAGGGCCCTAAACCCTTCCCTGACAGCATCCACGCCTGCTTCTGACAGAGCTGGGAAGTCCCTAGGGAATGGGTGCTTTTGGGAAACCAGCCTTGGCTCCTCCTGGTTTTACCCACCTCTACCTCTGAGCTGTGTCAAAGCAGGGGCTGAGGTGACACAGAGGCTGCTCTTGGTGGGACAGGGCCAGGACAAGGGGAAATGGCCTCAGGCTGTGCCAGGGGAGGTTCAGGCTGGATATTGGGAACAATTCCTTCATGGAAAGGGCTGTCCTGCCCTGGCACAGCTGTGCAGGGCAGGGGTGGAGCCCCCATCCTTGGAGGGATTTCAAAGCCCTGTGGATGTGGCACTTGGGGACATGGGACAGCACTTTGGCCTTGGTTGTGCTGGGAATGGTTGCACTTGATGGGCTCAGAGGGCTTTTCCAACCCCAGTGATTCCATGGTGACAGTGGGAGCTATGCTGACCTCTTTGCTTGTGGAAAAGACCCTCTGGTCCATCCAGGTGTGGTCAGACCTGGCTGGAGAAGTCCCCAGGCTGCTCTCCAAGGAAGTGGCTGGGTCATCCATCCCTGCCCCAGGAGCAGAAGTTTTTGGGGTAATTTGCCTCAGCCCACAGCACCCACAGAGCCCATTTGGTCAGAGCTGGTTGGAGACCTCAAAATCTGCCCCCATCCCTCCCTGCCAGCAGGGACACGTTCCTGCTCCTGTCCCTTGTGCTGAAGGGGACACTGGTGCTGGCAGTGGCCCACAGTGAGGTGCTGTGATCCCAGGGGCCCCGATGGCTTTCCCAGAGTCCAGGGTCTGGGGGTTCAGGTACTGCAGTGGGTGTGAATTCCAGTCTGTTCAATGCTACTGCTGAAATATTTATTGTGTTTAAGCCAAACAGAAAACTAATAAAGTTCAGTAAAAAGAATAAAATTTTCCACACCTTTTACTGGTGTTTGTCTTTTCTTTCTGCTGAACGTGGCGAAGAGGAAAAGGTGGAGCAGGGAATGGGCTGGAGGGCAGTGGGCAGAGATGGATTCAGCGAGTGACAGTGATTTGGGTGGGAAGGGATGCTCAAGATCAGCTCATTCCATGGGCAGGGACACCTCCCCCTGTCCCAGGCTGCTCCCAGCCCTGCCCAGCCTGGCCTTGGGCACTGCCAGGGATCCAGGCTGGGCACCCTGTGCCAGGGCCTGCCCACCCTGCCAGGGCACAATTCCTCATTCCCAAGGTCCCATCCAGCCCTGCCCTCTGGCACTGGGAGCCATTCCCTGGCTCCTGTCCCTCCAGGCCTTGTCCCCAGTCCCTCTGCAGCTCTCCTGGAGCCCCTTCAGGCCCTGCCAGGGGCTCCAGGCTTTGCCCAGAGCTCAGTTTTTCCCTTTCACCCCCCAGATCTGCACCCCCCAGGATTTGTGTGCTGAGAATCAGAAGCCCAGGCCGGAGCCATGGCAGGCAGCAGCACCTTGGGATGCCAGGATCCCAGCTGGGTTGGGTGGGAAGGGAGCTCAGAGCTCCCCCAGTGCCAGCCCTGCCATGGCAGGGACAGCTCCCAGTGTGCCAGGGTGTGCCAGTGTCCAGCCTGGCCTTGGGCACTGCCAGGGATCCAGGCTGGGCACCCTGTGCCATGGCCTGCCCACCCTGCCAGGGCACAATTCCTCATTCCCAAGATCCCATCCAGCCCTGCCCTGTGGCACTGGGAGCCATTCCCTGGCTCCTGTCCCTCCAGGCCTTGTCCCCAGTCCCTCTGCAGCTCTCCTGGAGCCTCTTTAGGCCCTGCCAGGGGCTCTGAGCTCTCCCTGGCTCCTTCTCCTCTCCAGGTGAGCACCCCCAGCTCTCCCAGCCTGGCTCCATGGCAGAGGGGCTCCATACTCAGAACACATCTGCAGGATGTGAGGGGACAGCTGGGCTGGGGAGCAGCTCGAGGGACACAGGTGACAGCAGTGACAAGGTGTGAAGCTGTCCCAAGAGCAGTGGAGGAGGAGGCTGCAGGCTGGTGGTGGCCAGTGAAGCACGGACAGACGACTCTTCAACTAATTAACGTTATAAACCAATAATAAATAAATAGTAATAAACAGTGATAAATAGTATTATTATAAATATTGATTATTTTTATATTTTATATTATTGATTATTATTATATTAATTATTTATAAATATAAAATTATGATAAATAGTTATTAATTAATCATATTATTAGTAACAAAAGAAGCAATACATTGTATTTATTACAGCCCTGGATGCAAGTGGAATCGTTTCCAAACCCATGTGGAAGGAGTTGCAGACTCCTGCTCTCTATACAGAAAAGGTTTTACACATCCAAGAGGTTTCTTAGCATGCATAATACATAATCCTTATGCTTTGTAATACAATCTGCTGAATGTCCATTATGGCTGTGCAATTGTCCTCTTTGATTGGGTGATTGGGCTTCTGGGGAGGAAGTAAGACATCTTCCTCATGGTAAACTCACACCTGTGTCAAGTTGCCCGGGCTTCTTGACTTGCTGCTCGCAGTCCCAACCTCCTCTCATTCTTAGAAGCCAGTGGTATTTATGGCTCCTGCACTCTTGGAATACCTCACCCGTCATTCCCAACCTTGTTTCAGTTATCTCCACCTGGTATCGACTGATTTCCTCGTTAAGCTCCAATCACAGTATATGATCC